AGAAATGGCGGAAACCCTAAACCCCGAATTTTTCTTGATCAAAAAACAACCAATTTTTCCACCATTTAATCCTTGAAAAAGCTGAATAAAGCTGTTTACAGCCTGCAAAACAGATCACATGCAGAAAAAAACAAAAAAAATGATAAAAAAATGACAAATTTGAAAAAATCCGTGAAGAACACTGTGCAACCCGTGTTCTTCACGGACTCGCCGATTCCGCACAGTGAATCGGCGAGTCACTGTGCGGAATCGTCCGGTTCTCTCTAGAACCGGACGATTCCCGGTTTTTGAACCGATCCGGTACCTTTTTCGTGAATTTCGAGTCGAACCGGGCGAGTCCGGTTCGACTCAACGATTTTTTAAACGCTGGATGAGACCATTTACTTTTGATACAAGAATGTTACAATTATCTATAATCATCCGATATGAAATCTGCTAGCTTGGGTATGTCATAAAGTTCGAAAAAATTTCTTTTGAAGTATGTGTATAGTCAATAGAATAAATACAACCATCCAATTTTACATCCAATGGTCAAGATTAATTGTGACCACCTTACACCAAAAATAGATCGTCTCATTGTATGCTTTACCTAAAAGCTAAATTATAGAAATTAACAAAAATTTTGAAGTGAGAGAGAATCCAATTGAAAGAAATGCAAGCGTGGATGCAATAAACATGGGAAATGAATGAGAGCTACATTCCCATATAAAAAGGAATATCTAAAACCTTCGACCCACCATCTATAATCTAACAGTATTTCTCTTAATTTTTCACTGCCTTCATACTATAGGCATGTGCCTCTCTCTCTCTCCACACGCAAATAAGCATATGAATCATCATATTCTTCCATGTTTATTCTGATATATATTCAAAATCTGCCATTCTCATTGTTCAAGATGCCATTCAATCCATTAATGAAGATTCAAAAGATGTTTGCAGGAAAAAGAAGAGTGTAGCATCTGCCTGCACTGGTTGAAGTTGGTGCGATAAAAAGCAAACTCCAAAAGTTGGAGATCTCAAAAATTAAGAGAAAGAAACTCAGCAAACGTGTTTTCTATTTACCGATGAAATGCTGCAGGGTTTCGGAAGATTTGTGGATCCGGCGAGAAAAGGGGGTCATTGATGAGAGAAGAATTGGGGTTGGAAGCCGCATCTTTTATTGCCTTTCGAGCTCTGGCAAGGCCTGCTTCTATCACCTGCGCATGGCTCCTCACAACAGGTTTCTGCAATTCCACAGTCCAAATAAAAAGAAAAAGAGTTCCATCAAACCATTTAATGTAGCCAGAGAGAGAGGGAGCATTGGACCCTGGTTGGGACATGCAAGCAGTGTAGGAAAGCACGACTAGGCCCCGGAACGCGGCCGGGGCCTGGATGAATCCGAGCAACTTGGCCCGAGTTGAGCTGGTCTTGGCCAGGTCAAAAAGCATTAAAAAATAAAAATCCCAAAAATATGGAAAATGTCTGAAGTAAAATACAACGCATCTAAATGATGAAAGTAGTAAAAAATAAATTTTGAAAAAAATCAATTTGTTATGAGGGTGGGTATTTCGGATTGAAAAAAGTTTATACAGAAGAGAAAAAGATTTCGAGTCCTAAAATAATGTTATCTTGCAACATATTATCTAGACCGTCCATTTTCAAGTGTTTATAGATTTACTTGATTTGAACCATTTTTGGAATTTAAAATTTTATTAAGAGAGATGAAAATAGATATAAGAATTTTTTAAACCAAAATTAAATAGGGTAAAATTTGGAAATGCGCCTTAATTTGATTGTTTAAGAAATAATCCAAAAAGAAAGAAAAACTGTCAAAATAACTATTTATAGATGAAACACTTCCAAATCTTTGCCAAAATGAAAGAAAACAAAAATATCAAAACAACTATTTGTGGATGAAACACTTCCCAATCTTTGTTAAAATAATAGAGAACAAGGAAAAACATATTACAAATAAATTTCTTATTTCTTTTGGATTTTTTAGAAATTTTTGAAAATCTTTTTAAGATCTCGAGCTTGACCCACCAAAACTCGAGATACTCTAGCGAGCCGTGGTTACTTGAGCAAGTCCGGAATGGCTCGCCCCGAGTAATCGAACAGTACTTGCAAGACATATGAAGGGACTTCCGTTAATGTGTGGCATAGACATGCAGATGCTCTCATTAGAGTGAGATCACAAACATGGAAATGCTCATATGAGAAAGAGAGATCATACAATTGGTTTAGGCGTTTGGGGTGGATTCAAGGTGGGTTTCAAGGTGGGTTTCTCATAGCGCAGGGCAGCAACCTGATGCAAGGTCAGGGCCCTTCTGTTGAACTTCCATGAGGAGAGGGTTTGTGGTGGCACAGAGAGAAGGGCCCATGTAACATAGGCGAATAGCAAGAAAAGAGGAAGACCAAGAGAGAGCTTGCACAGGCTTTCCATTCTCTCTCTCTCTCTAACTCACGCTTCCATGCAAGCGTATGAAGAGGGGGCAACATATTCCTTTCTTCTTCTTAGTTACAAGTTTGGTGGATGCTTGGTGAGGGGGAGGTACTATTATTCTTTTCTTCCATGGAGATTCACTGAGTTTTAGAGAGAGATTGTCTCTCTCCAAAGGGAGTACACCTAAACCCCCATAAAAAAAGTTATACACAATTCTTGCCTGCCTAGAAAGGAAATGTGAATCCCTTATGCAAATAATATTAGAGTTATTTTAATTTTTTATTATTTTTTTGTTTATCTCTTCAAGAATAAGGCAGGGATAATTAGTTGAGCATAAATTTATCGAATTAATCTCGTGTATATTGATCAATTAGATTGCATTAGTTTAGGAGTGTAAATAGATAAAGTTAAATTAGGGGAGCTGGTTTAAGAACGTAAAAGGATAAGGTTAAATAAAAAGTAGTTTTTAAGCTTTGGGTAAAATGGGATGCTACGTGAGGTTAAGGCAAGAGAGAGAAATAGGGAAGAAAAGATAAAATAAGAAACATATAGAGATAGTTTTTTTTGTTAATGTTTATCTTATTTTTAGTCTATTTAAATGGAGGTTTCCTTTCGTTGTTAAAGAGGTAGATGAGTTAATAAAATTTGGTCTCGTAAAAAGATTTTTGAGGTGGATTTCTTTACCGTGAAAAGGGTACATTCTCTCTCTCAACCTTATTTTGGGGTGACCCTCTCTCAACCTTGGGGTAAATTCTCTTATAAAAAATGGGAGACGGTATATTTTTTCAATATTTTCCTTTTATTTTAATACTGTTTTATTTCTTTGCTTTCTTTACATCAATCTGCGTCAATCACCAGCTGACTTACAACCTCCACCCTAAAGTCTATTACTCATAAAAAAGATCCTAAAAAGTTTTTTTTTTTTAATTTTAAAAGTTTATTTTTCTTTCCATATTTATGATCATTTTGGTCTAGATGATGAATCTACAAAATAAAATTTTAAAAAATATCACCTGAAATGAATTTTTGTAGGGGCATCATATTCTTTCTTTCTTTTTTTTTTTCTTTCAATAATTAAGTAGAAATGATGAACCCTTGTCTGTTTTTTAAAATCATTAATAGTTTTTTAATACTTTTAAGTGAGAATAAGCTTTGACTTTAGAATGCTTAAAACCCATTCACCTAAAATACCCCCCTCATCTACGAGGGAAAAGTACAACATGCCCTCCGCTTACACAGCTGAAGGTACATATTTTGCGTTCTGGTATGTGATTTCTCTTGGCAATCCGTTCAAAAAAGAAAAATGTGATTTCTCTTGGCGAGAACCAAGGCCATCTGGATTATTAGGAGGAAGAGCTATGTACGGATAAAAAGCAAATTTTTAATACCAAAAGCGCCATATTAAAATTACGTGGAGGGTCTCGTGGCTTTTTTTAAATTTTCCCATTTTGCCTCCCTTGTCAATATCATATTGGTTTTATTTATTTCTCCAAATTTCTCGGATGTAGGGTAGTGCGTTTAGGGAGGGTTGTGTCTTGCATTTAGGACATTTCGAAACCGGTCCGATGTCCCAATTACTAAGTAATTATAATTTAAATGGGTCCGATGTTTGTGACATCGAACCCCTTCTTTATGCAAAAAGACATCGGACTCCTCAACCTTTTATATTCACCAAAAAAACACAGGTTTATTTTCTTTCATCGAAGATTTCTTCTTTCTTTCAGCCCCCAAGTGCCAAATCCTCCTCCCACGATTTCTGGCAATCAACGATTTGATTCCGGCGACGTACTTCTCACCACCATGTCGGTTATAAATACAGCTGAGGCTCTAAATAATCAAATTAGATCCTACCTCAAAACTTTCACTAGAAGAGGTTGTTTTGATGCCCAAATATCATCACATTTATCATCTCGACATCAAGATGCATGGACATTAGAAAAAAATAGAGTTCAAGTTTTGAAAATAATGTATTTTGTAAAGCATTTTTGGACTGTCAATTTTCAAGATTTTCAAGTTTTCGTAGATCTGCCAATCTACACTATTTTTAAAGTTTTAAACTTTATAAATAAAGATAAAAATATATGTTATGGCTTTCACTAAGAT